TTCATGTTACATTATACAGAGAAATAAAACAATTTTACATATTGTTTTACTAAAATTATATATCTGTGATTAAAATTCGCAACAATATTTTAAATATCGGGAGTAACGAAAGTTCCCCGCCACTGCAAATGTCGTCTGCGCAAACAGTTTGCGTTAGCATCTATAATCACACTTTGTCAAATGATTTTGGGCTTTTGAAAGAGATTTTCTTTAGAACACTGTGTTGTGAAATTTGTAAAAAAATATCGTTATCAGTATGTACAAGATGTCTGAAATGGAACTATCGTGCTACCAGATTAGACCATCATTTACTTCCAGTTCTGTTGCAAAATGTTAGCTACAGATTGTCACCTAATCATGTGTATAGCTTTAAGTACTAATGTTGTATCATGTGACACTGTGAAGATTTGGTACCAAAAGTTCAAAAACAAGGACTATGACATTCAAGAAGCAGAGCCCTCTGGCCAGCCTACTGATGTTGATGAAGCCTGGTTGCATGAACTTGCGGAAGAAGATCAGTATGCAACCACTTGAGAGCTTGCAAAGGCATTAGACATTAGTGTTATGTCCATTAGTCACACTATGCATCTCATAAACTTGATGTACAAATTCAATTGAGCTGACTTAAGCAGATAATGGCAGACTTATTTGTGCCCCTGCACTAATCTGCCCGAATATCAACTCAAGGACAAAATTCTGGCCTGCATCATCACTTGTGAGGAAAAGTGGATTTATTTCAACAACACAGCCTGAAAAGGAGGAGGTTTGCACCTGGTGAGCCCATCGGCAGCGTTGCAAAACATAGTTTGACTAACAAAAAGGTCATGATTAATTTAGAAGTCAAACAACAAAAATCAGCATTATATTTTAAAATTTTCCTAGGACTAGTTTCGATAGTTTTATTGAACCATCATCCTCAGCTGCAAAAGTGCAAATGACTTTGGAACAAATAGCTACATTTGCGCTTTTGCAGCTGAGGATGATGGTTCGGTATAACCATCAAAACTAGTCCTATGAAAATTTGAAAATATAACGCTGATTTTTGTTGTTTGACTTCTAAATTAATACTTGTTTGTCATGTAATTGTATCATAATTAAAAAGTTCATGCTTTGTATTTGGTGGGGTTGCCATAAAGAATATCTGGAAAAAGGCGTACAGCGAGATGCTAGTCCATTTTGATGCTGCTATCAAGGAAAGTTATCAAAGTGATAATAGTTCAACAAGATAAAAAAAGACCACATGTATCTTCATTCACCGGCTGACCTCTGTATGGACTCGAATGGGATCTTTTGCCACACCCACCACATAGCCCCGACATCGCTCCTTTATACTACTATAGCTGCATCTTGCTATTGCTATTTTCCATTATCCACAGGGTGTCCAAAATGAGGTAGATCGGTTTTTGGACTAGCAGACCTCAAGTTTCTTGGCTCAAGGCTTTGAAAAATTACCAAAATGTTGACAGAAAATCATAGGTTTCACTGGTGATTACTACCCGCACTAAAGGTACTGTTTTCATGATTTTTTTTTTTTTTTAAATTTATTGAGAACGTTTTTTTGGCAGAAAACTTTTGTTATAACCAGATATTTACAAATGTAATAGTAAACTAGAAACTAATAACTTCACTCCTAATTTAAGTGACCAGCCAGTTAAAGAAAACTGGACACGGATAGTTTGACAGTTTGAACCCAGGTGAATAGACTGGCTGCATTTTTTTAAAGTTTTCTGTATGTGTAATATGAATGCAAAAGAATTTCCCTTAAAAACGTCATCCACGAAAGCATCCTTTCCCTAGGCAGGTAGCTCTTGCGTGTTTTGCCATATTCAAATAACCTAACCTAATGTAAGATAATATAACAAGATTATTGAAAAGACGGAATCATAAATTTTGAAGAATTTAATTTAGTTTAAAATTAAAACAATGTCAGATTTAATAATTTAAGTTCAAGCTTGGATTTCTAAAATATTGCAGATTTGAGTATTATTAATTTGTGTCTTAATGAAACATCTATACACATGTAAACCATAAAAAGATATTACAGTTTCTGACTTTTCTTGCACTTGCATGTAATGTTTAATATGTATTCATATTTAGACTTGTGTATTTCATTCTTGAAGAATCATTGCTGCAAATAGATATTTTTATGCCCTGAAGAGTTATCTGAAATCCAGCTTTCTTAAATTAAGAACTAAATTGCTTCTTAACAAAAGTCTTATAAGATCTGTCTTGACATCATTAGAGCATTAGAGACTTGGGCATTGACTTTATGTTATGAAGAAGCTCTGCAAAATTTTGAGTGAAAGATCTTGCTTTGTCTTCTTTGTAGGGTCTGAATGAATGGATCATGGGGTAGAAGATCTAATTTAGAACTCTATAAAATTTACAAACAACCTGATATTGTAAAATTTTGTTAAATTACAGAGACTTAAATGGGCTGGCCATTTGGCTAGAATGAATGAAGATCGTTGCTATAAGATCTTCCTGGCAAAGCCCATGGGAAATGAACCTCGGGGCAGACCCCCGCTAAGATGGATTGATTGTGTTGAAAAAGATCTTAATATTTTAAGGGTTAAAAACTGGAAAACAATTGCCAAGAGTAAAGATGCCTGGAGACGACTTCTGAAGAAGGCCAAGACCCACCCAAGGCTGTCGAGCCATTGAAAAAGAATTTCATTCTTGAGTATTGATTCAGGAATTGACACTTGTTAAAAATGTTGCATATTTCAGAATATCTACTGTTATAAGTTCTTCTACATGTAGTAATGTTTTGAGGTAACAATAATAATTTGCTATTTATTTTAAATTTTATTTGAATTATACAATAAGGCTGTTAAATTAATTATGTAATAAAACAAGTTTAATTCACTTATTAATAGATATTATTTTTCAGCTTATAAAATACCAGTGTTTTTTTTTTTTTTTTTTGAGTCAGTATGCTTTTAGTACAGTACATTTTCTATTTTAAAAAACTGAATCATTTTAATTAATCAATTATTATTTAAAATTTTGTTGTCAAAATCAATTTTTTCAGTTTTAGAAAATTCGATGTTAATGAATTCAAAGTAAAAACAGCAGAAAATAGCATGGCGAAAAATTTACTTCTACAAACAGAAAAAAATATATTAAAAATTTGATTAATATTCCTTGTAATTTAAAATAAAACACTCTTCATATATTATTAATAAATGTTTATTATGCATCATTAATAAAAATGAGAATAAAATCCATATGAATAATTCTCAGTAAAATTTACTGTAAAATAACTGTGGAAATTTGTTGAATTGTAAAAAAATGTGCAAACCTCATTTAGTTATATTATCACTTATGATAGCGATGCTAAATTTCAAAACCAGCCATTATATAATTTCACATATATCTTAGGATTTTTTTTGAATAAAAATCTTTTGCACATATGCCTAGAAATGTATCTGCTTTAATACAATATTAAAAATTTTATAGGTTTTTAAGTTAATTTTTTTTTGTAAAATTTATTAATATTATTTAAAAATACAAATTTTTGGTATTCTCCCAATAGGTGATGTACCTTACTTAACTGCGTAGTTACTTTTATGGATCGATAGGAGGCACCACTAAAATTGTTGTTTTTACTTTCAGATTTGCATGATCAGATTTATTATTATTTAATATTAATAATTTTTTATGTTTCGCAAAATATTTATTTCTTTTACTGTGTTTTATGGTACGTATAAGGAAACTTAGTGCAGGAATAAAAGGTTGAATTTTTTTAAATTAAATTAGCTGGTTTAAGTATTTTGATACTGTTCTGTTATCAGGACAGAGTCCAGAAATGTATGTATGTATGCATGTATGGATGGATGTGTTCATATATGCATGTATATATGTACATATGTATCTGTGTATGCACATACATACATACACTTCTAAATCCGGTTCTGATAACAGAAGAGTACCTATATTTCAATGATTTACATGATATTAATAATAACTGAAAGTGAGTTCCTAAATGTTATGGTTATAGATTTATATCAAGAATTCCTCTCATATACTGAATGAAACTGATAAGAGGTAAGACAAAATACACCCGATTTTGTACTGTTATATTTAGTTGTTTCAAAATCTATTTACAAACAATTTGTTGTTAGCACAGTATTAAAAAACATGAGATAATGAATTTAAGAGAGATAAAATTAAACACTCCTGTCACTTAAGATAACAGTTATTTCATTTGCTTCTTATTTCAACTCTTTGTAATATAAACGTGAAATTTATTTGAGAGTAAATTGATAACTAACATTCCAAGACAGCATTTTAAAAGCATTTCACGAGAAAAATTGCGTGTGAGAGCAACATAAGCATAAACATTGTTTTCACAAACTAGTCTGAAAAAGAGGTGGCGCCATCTATTATAAAACTAGTTAACTAACAAAATTATGTAAATCGCCTATTGGGAGAATACCAAATTTTTAAAATAAATGAGATAAAATGGGTAAATTTTATTTGGATTGTACCTAAATTCGAAGCATGAAAGGAGAAATCAGGTAAGTCATGTTAAAAAAAAAAAAAAAAAAAAAAAAAAAAAAAAAAAAAAAAAAAAAAAAAAAAAGATAATACTAAATATTTACCAAATTCAATTAACGTTGTAGAGTTAAAGTTTTGAGTTCTAATTTAAAAAGAGAACTGATGCAATTTTTACAAAATTTTGTACTTTGGCATAATTTAAGTTGTGAAACTGAAATATGGAAAAAAAAATCAACGTGTCATTTCAGAAAAAGTCTGATTTTGGGGCAAAACATGTATGTTAAAGTAACACTGTATTTATATCTAATATATATCTAAAGTTGTGATTTAAAACATGAAAATTTCATGATGAATTTCATCGATCGGCCAAGTACAACAGGAAGTATAGAACTGTTCCCCCTTTTTATTGACTCAGTGTATATTATTAGCAAAAATGTTAAGCGTAGTTTCTGTTAATGCATTTTCTTTATTGTGCTGATTCTGTTTTCTTTTTACAGCATGGATTTCTTTTTCATCATGCTAAAACATCGTATGTTATGCTTACAAGATGGTTACCAGCAAATCAACCAAACTTACTTCCTCAGTTTCCACATACACATATTGGTATTTTATTTTATTAATGTACAGTTTGTTCTTATTTTATATATGTAAGTTTTATAATTTGACATTCCAAATTTCAAATATTGAAACAGTATCTCACACACAGATTTATACAAGGTGTGAGCAAAAGGTAGCTACAGCCTTTAACCAAAATATTGATTCTAGGCGTGTAGTTCTAATGCCAGAACTTCCCAAAATTGCTAGCAGGATTCGACGAGTATAAAATATAACTTGTACATGATTCCTGTAAAATGAAGTTCGATATTTATTTATTTGCATTATTAAACATTTCTTTCAGTGTAAGTCGCTTCATTTTTTTTTTTTTTTTTTTGTGCTAATGCTTTCTGTTTAATTTTATAGATAGACATGATTTCTTCATTTACAAAGTTCAGGTCTTGTAATTACTGTGTCAAGAATTCCCACTTGTCAACTGAGATTTTTTCATACTCAACACCCTTTTTGTCACTTTCTTCACTAGGCATTTTTCAATCAAAACTTAGTTTACTCAATTTAATTATTGACAGTAAAGGTGTACAGTTACGGTTTGACCTGGTTCTAGCACTTCAAACTGGATTATGCCCCAAGTATTCCACCAAACAGATGATTATATCTTTTTAAGGTATAAACCTGGCTTTGGAATAACTAATAGAGTTTGAATGGGAAAGAATAATTGTCTTTAATGTTTGGGATTATCATAAAAGACCCATTTCGGATCTCCAGTCATCCCACAATCAAGAAATGCTTTTATGTCTTGTTGTTGCTAGAACAAATTGCAGATGATTGTGCAATTGGCTTTGTTTTGTTCGGAGAGTGTGTATGAAACCCAAACATTATTTCATTTGACTGAAGGAATCTGCTTCTTAATGTTCTTGAATGGTTGATAGAGGTGTGTTAAGCTTGTCCAATAACTCTTCATTTGTTTGACAAAGATTTGCTTCCACTTCTGATCATAAACATATTATCATCAAGAGACACTTATGTTTATAAGTAAGGCAAGCAATGAAGATCAGAATTACTGGATCTGAACATAACAAATCACCTTTGCCATAAACATTGCAAACATTTTTATTTGGGGGGGGCTTGACATTTCAAAAACGTATGTTATAAAAAGAAAATTTGCTTATAAAACAAAAGAAAGGAAGTTACTTTCACATGCAAAAATATCTTGCATTACTTCACCACATGCAGTCAACTGATTTGTATTAAACAAATGTTGAAATATGCAAGTATGACTTTACTTTCCTATCCCCTAGCTCTTTTACATTTAAACCTAAATGTAATTATTTTACATTTATGTGTTTCATTTATTACTTCACACATGATAGTTCAAAATTTTACATAAATATTAAAATTTCCTAATATTTAAAAGAGAAAAGCATTTGTGTTGAGTCATATTCTTAGTCTTTTAAGAAATGAAATGTTTAAAAAACTGATAAACATACCCTTTAGGAGAAATTCTGTGCATTTAATATGTATAACTTTAACAGTTTAAACAATATTATATTTTATAAATAAATACATTTTTAGGTAATTATATATTATAAATAAATACATTTTTAGGTAATTATATTTTCATATTAATTAGAATTAATTAATATGAAACCTCAAATGAATGTTTTTTATGTAAGTTCTTGGCTATTGTATTGCATTGGAATATTAGAATGTGAACTTTTATGCTTTATTGCCATGTTATTATGCACTGTAATTAGATTATATCTAATAAAGATGACTAAAATGTAAATTATTATAAGAGAAAAATAAAAATTGAAATTTTAACTTTGGAAAAAAAAAAAAAAAAAAAAAAAAAAGAGTGTCAGGATGGGTTAGAGTAATATTGAAGAATAGGAATTGTACTGTTCAAGATCAGCATTAAAATATTACAGAAATAAAATTAGTAAGAATATACCATAGGTTCCCAACGAGGTTAGTACCATCACTCAGTGGGTACTGGAATCTTCCATGAGGGCATTGGAGAGTCCAGAGGCAAATGGGAGGCATTAAGATGGTCAAGAGGGAAGGCTATATCATGCCTAGCTATTTAGGAAATTAATGTAATAAAATGCTTTGAAAATGCCTACTGCTTTCATAAATAAACATTTTATCTAGTTATCTAAAATTTTTATCTTATTGTTAATGGATAAATAAGCAATAAAAAATTTTTAATTAGCATTAGGTATGCATATAACCTAATTTCGTTTAGCATTGTCAGTGACAAATCTTTACAAGTTGGTAAGCAAAAATGTGATTCATATGATGAAGCATGTTTCAGCAAAAATATGGGAGCTTGTAATGACATGTTTGCAAAGCAAGTGCACAGGCATCACAAACAAACAGAAACATGCAAGTGAATGTATACGCAAAGTCAAATCGCAAAAGGCAGAGTTACCTCTGGGAATGTCTTACCAACATCACTATGGCAGCCACCAAGAATTCCGGCTCCCTGTGGGTCAACAGGTGTGTAGTAGTGAACTAACTTCTGCAAATATCCAGACTGGCTCAGTAAAACATGTGAGCAGCTCACCTCAGATCTTCATGCCTAACGAACAACTTCTATTTCCTTAAGGTGGCCCACAATTCAACGAAAGAGGACTTGCACCATTTCTCTCGTGGAGCCTTGATGCAAGTGGCAAACAGTCATTCCCCTTTCCCCTCTATTGTATCCACGAAGGAGGGAATGGAAAAAGATGTCTTCCTTCCACAATGCCTGTAGCAGTACTGGCAAGCTTTGATAATTTAAGGGGGTTGGCACTTTTTGTATCCAAAGAATATTACCTTAACAGTGGTTTAGTGGTACTTATGATAATTTCTCTCAAATCGAAAAAGAGGAACACTTCCGCATGATTGGTAAAATTGTGTTATGCATGATAATTTAGTTATATGTGTAATATTGGTATCTGTAGAAATATCTTATTGTTTTTTTATGCTTCACCAATAATCCCTATTTGTGTATGGAAGTGATAGAATGTAGTCATTATTTTTATAACTCTTTACAAATCTGTTGAAAAGTTAATTTATTTAAACTGTGGCAAGTTTTGCATTTCAGAATATCTGAATCTGAGTAGAAATGTTGGCAGTACAGCACTGAGTATTTAAAATGTGGATTTGTATACTTTTTTACAAACTAATCAGGTATGTTTGAATTGGAAAAACATTTTTTTTTTTTTTTTTCAAATGAAGCCATGAAGCCTTCTAGACTGTTTGAGTAAAATGATACTGATAAAAGGACAAAGAAATTACTCACTGTACATTGTGTTATTTGTCATCAGCATTTGGTTGCAAAAAATCTGAATGAATGTATGCATATGCTGTTTTGTTATGTTTTTAGAGCAATTAATAAGATTAGAAAGAATTCATTGCCGACAGAATATTTGGCCAACTTTGTAGGGAAAATGGTGAAGATTACTGTCATTTGCAGCTGCATTCAGAAGCTCATTGGCTGTCAAAAGGCATTTATTTGAGTTGTTTTTTTAATTTGTTTAATTTGGTATACTGGACTTACATGAAAACAGAGATGAAAAATTGCACTGAGTTGAATTTAATTAAGAAAAAGTTATTATCTGCTTTTGTGGGAAAACTTCTTTTCCAACGGAATTTAGATGAAGCTGAATACAGTCACTTTTCTAAGCTATCAGCAGTCTCTGCAGACCAGGAAGATTTACGTAGGCTATTCAGAAAGTAAGGAACGTTTCTGTCTGATGTCACTAGGCGCATGCTGATCACATATATTTTGGTGTCTGCATGCTTGGCATGTCAGTCGAAGTCCAGCCATCACAATGGGAACATTTCCATGCTGCCGTTTTTTCGATATTCAAATTTAAAATGTGCACTGCAATTGAAAATCCCACCAGTTGTGAGGTGCAGTCTGTGATACGGTTTTTGTTGGCAAAAACCCTATGGAAATTTATCGGCAAGTGTGTGAAGTGTACGGAAACGCGTAATGAATGAAAGTTCAATCCAGAAATGGTGCATTCAGTTTCAAAATGGCTGAACTAACATTCACAATGAAGAGAAGAGTGGACGTCCTAGCATTGTGACTGACGAACTGGTGGCTAAAGTTAATGAAAAGATTCGTGAAAACTGCCATTTCACAATAATGGAGCTTTCGCCTAGTTTCCCACAAGTTTCACGGACTTTGTTGTTTGAAATTATCACACAAAAGCTAGGCTACCACAAATTTTGTGCAAGATGGGTGCCGAAGTTGCTTACAGACCACCATGAAGGTCAGTGAATGGGGGCAGCTTTGACATTTCTGGAGGCCTATGACAGACATGGTGATTCATTACTGGATCGAATCGTAACTGGTGACGAGACGTGGGTGAGACACGTGAATTGCGAGACAAAATTACAGTCCATGCAGTGGGAGCATACAAGTTCTCCCAAAAGACCAAGAAAATATTTGAAAACCTTGTCACCAAAGAGGATTATGGCGACTGTGTTTTGGGATAGGCAAGGTGTGCTTCTGATTGATTTTCTTGAACGTGGTGCCACAATAAACTCTGAGCAGTACTGTCAAACTTTGTGCAACCTTAGGAGAGCAGTTCAAAACAAGCACCGAGTCTTGTCAATAAGTACCAAGGAAAGTTGACGTCCAAAGTTTTGTTTTTGCATGACAATGCCCGACCTCACACGGCAAACCGCACTCAAGAACTCCTTAATTCATTCAAATGGGAGGTTTTTCCTCATCCGCCCTATAGTCCCAATCTTGCACCTAGTGATTTTCACTTGTTTCCAAGAATGAAGAACTGGCTAGCAACACAGCGCTTTGACGACGACAAAGAGCTGCGGGTGCGTGTCACTGAGTGGCTGAGATTGCAGGCGGCAGAATTCCATGACGAAGAAATTTCAAAGCTTGTCCACCGCTATGATAAGTGCTTCAGTTTATTTGGTGACTATGTAGAAAAGTAGAATTTTAGTCGCTTTTTCTGATGCATATAATAATTTTTTTTCTTCTTGTACTTGGTTTCTTTTTAATTCCAAAACGTTCCTTACTTTCTGAATACTCC